CACACACAGACACAGACACAGACACATACAGATGAGAGCTAGTGTAGTGTTTGGGACACACACACACACACACACACACACACACACACATCACACATGTATAAAAGCCCGTATTGTGCAGTGATTAAAGTACTGGACTAAAAGCTAAGAAACCCAGGTGCTAGCCTTCCCTTATACTTAGAAACTGATTGAGTTACTTTGAGCCACTTGCAATCCCTGAGCCTGAATTAGAAAGTCAAAAAACATCTAATAATCTGCATTACATATGCATGATACATCTTTGCTGAAATATACAGTATATCAAGAACAACAACAGAGGGGACATTATTTAGATTATAGGCTATATGCCAGACTTAGTCTTGTCCAAATTACCTTTCATGTCCATATTATATAAGCATCAGAGCTGCAATACCATGCTATGTGTAAATACATTAGGCAAAGCAGATGTCTACTTAATACAGGTTCCCCATCTGGAGCCCTCTAAATGGATTGGGAATACTAGCTGAAAATTGTGAGGGCATTGTGATTATGTGGAGAAAAAAAACATGACTTAAAATGGACCTAAATTAATGATAAAAGTATTCAAGTGGATCTTACAAAGTGTGTCTTCCATTACCATATTGTTAGAAAAGATCTATGAGTGCAAATGTTTGAATAAGACTGTAAACAAGGGCAGCTCTCTCTGCAACCAAAGTGTCTCAGTCATGTCTGAACCTCTTGCAGTAAGGGTTCATCTTTCACTTCTAGTCATCAGTGTACAGTACTTAGCATTTTAATTAAAACAATGGACATTGTAGGAGCTTTGAAATGGGAAACATCACAATGTGTAAATAAATATGCACGGCAATACCAGTTTTGGAATTAGAAAGCCAGTAGAAAAACTTATACAGCTACAAGCAGAGTCTAAATATCCCGAGATTGATTTGTCTCCTGATTTGTCTCTTACTTTGGCCTATCCTTATCACCACAATCCTAAGCAAACATCTTTTTTTGCTAAAAGGAAGGAAGATGTCAGAAGGATGGGTTTGCTAATAACAAGAGAATTATGACACTAAATTTTACAAAAGCAACACATAGTCCTGCATGATTGCATTAAAGTTGTAGCATTAACATTTCGTGTCATTCCAGAGAGATTGTAAACTACAACTAACAGGAATTGGGATTCCTGATAATACAGTATATTGGAAATTTATTTATCTTAATAACAACAACGTAAAACAAGAGTGTCCTTGCCCTTTGGAAGCTTTGAAAGAAACCCAGAAAAGACTGGAAAACTGCACTAGGAGAGATATTGTTGTTCTTATCCAAGGAATATAACATTCCAGAGAACACTGAAGACCAGAATCACACTAGCTAGCAATATTTGGCTGCAGAAATAAGATTGGAGCTAGAGATGCAGTTTTGTTCTACTTCCACAATGTAAAAAAGTGTCAGCCAAACCAGGAAGAGGCCAACATGGTTTTCTGACAGTTTAAAAGGAAGCTGTAAGGCTTCCTTCAAGGAATGAAAAGAAGCCTGTCCAACAAAAAGATTACAAATTCTAACAGGAACTGTAAGGTGATAATGGAAAATAAAAAAGATAGAAAATTAGCTAGAAAAGAGTTTGGGCTGTTAGACAACAAAAGAGTGAAATAAGGACTCAAAAATATGTGGAAACCAAGTAAAACTCAGTTAATTCTTTGCATCTAAGATGAATACCCGAGTCAGCATTTCCTTTCTCAGAAAGAGAAAATTATGGAGAACTAAGGAAGCCAGAAAATTCTAGGGTGATCAGCTTAATATTTATCAGTTGGAGTAGAAGACAAAATGATACCAGCAAAGTGTAGAGGTTTTTTTTGGGTCTTTGTGCTGCTATATATGGCTGCTCTAGTCAGGATGAGAAGAAGTGATCTGCTGTGCTTATCTGCTGTCCACATCAGAGCCCCAAAAGGATTCCCATCCCTTCCTGGACTGTATTTATATCCTTATTAAGTGGGGGAATTATGTTCTTAAGGTTAGTGTAATTCTGCATTGCAAAATAAATGCTTTAACCATTCAGTGACTTATAAGCTTATTATCCTCACACGCCTCCAAGGACAATTAAAATGCCTGTTTACCTTCAGGCCATTTTCTACCTTCAACACTTTCTAGTGTTGAGCTTGCAATTCATCCAGTGTCCAATGCAAGCCATTGGATTCATTCTAAGGTCAAACTTGGTTTTTCTCCAAAAGATCTTAAGAAGGAATAATATAAAATGATGATTGAGACAGCACATATTTTTATTCACTTAGATTTCTTCATCATTTCCCCCAGGAAATTTCCCCTTTGAGATAACTAGATTGACCCTGATTTGTGCCTTATCTTTATTTCAGATAGGAATAGGAAATATATGGATTTTTTATATTCCTGTATTTATGAAGAAAGATTCCATGTGACAATAATTTAGGCATTGTCTATTATCATTTAGACATTTGCTAAAAAAAAAACAACATTTTGGTAAACAGTATGACATGACATATTAAAAGTAATAACTGATTAGAATATAATGTCTAATTTGATTGGTTTATACTTGTTTTTATTTTTAAATAAATGAAAATATAACAATATATTTTGAAATATTTACCTTTCATATCCTCTGGGTTGTCGATAATGAAGTTTCCATTCCAAACGACAGCAAAATCTACAGCTAAATTACTTATGTCCATTCCATCATAGAAGTACTAGGAAATAAAAGAAAAATAAACATTCAGGCAAAATGTATAAAATGATTGGGAAGCCAAGGAATGAACGATTTAGAATTTTACAACATATATAGTAACTTTAGGGATATGTGGCAACATTGGAAAGCAAGAAGTTTTAACACAGATTTAGAGAGAAAGAGAGAGGGGGAGAGAAAGGGAGGGAGAGGGCAGAGGAGAGGAGGGAGAGAGAGGGAGAGAGAGGGGGGGAGGGAGGGAGAGAGAGAGAGAGAGAGAGAGGAAGAGGGAGGGAGAGGGAGGGAGTTTTTACCGCATAATTAAATCAACTGGCAGGCCTGGAGAGAGGTAATAGATTAATTATCCATGTCATGCACACTGTTCTCACCATTCAGTCTTGGTTTGCTGATAAAGCCATATTATCAATGAAGAATTAATGAGATGAAAAAGAAAATCCTACACAGCCTTGTAACAAAGCTACACAATGCCTAGCTCTTCTCCTTGCAAATATGCTAGTTTATTCTTTCTAAAGTACTTAGAAAATATCAGCATACTGATGTTTTAGACAACATGTAGAGAAATAAATGTGATCATAGTTCTAGGAAAAAAGGCTTTCATTCAGCGATAGCTCACTGGGTTGATACAGACTGTGCTGTCTAGCCTCTTCAGCCAAGTAGACAGTGATTCATAGAAACATATGTGTTAATAGACTTTAAAATGACATAAAACCTACAAATGACTAACACGGCTGCTTCCGTGACACCTGCAACACTTAATCTGTTTCGTTAAAGCAAAAGTGAGAAACCTCATCATCTAGCATTAGCCAACCTGGTCAATAGCGAAGGACGATGTGCAGTTCAAAATTAGCAGATCTGGATGGTCACGTATTATATTACCCATTCGTAATTTAATGTTATAACTATCTTTAATCAGGATAGCTGACATCTATAGTTTCCTTGGAAATGCCATGTTCCTTTTTTCAGGAAACTATGTGAAGTGGTAATGCTACCAGAGGCAGGCAAATAATTTCCATTTAAATCAATAATTTTTCAGCCTATTTTCTAATTATAAGAGGTATAAAATTCATGTCTACATGTAGTCTTTGGATCACCTAACCAGATTTTACATGGCATTGTTTGCTTTCTGCTAACAGTAATAAAATTGCAGTCTAGCTCTCTACAATTAGCAGTCATATACCCCAAACATACTCCCAGAATTCAAAATGACCCCTTATGCTCTCCCCTTATGTGGGCAACCATAATTTTATTATGGTTCCCTACATGGGGCATGAGTACCGAGGTGGGTACAGTGGGCATGAGTACCGAGGTGGTACAGTGGTTAGAGTTCAGTACTGCAGGCTACTTCAGCTAACTGCTAGCAGCAGTTCAGCAGTTCAAATCTCACTGGCTCAAGGTTGACTCAGCCTTCCATCCTTCAAGGTGGGTAAAATGAGGACCCAGATTGTTGGGGGAAATATGCTGACTTTGTAAACCGCTTAGAGAGGGCTGTAAAATGAAGCCATATATAAGTCTAAGTTTCTATTTCTATTATGAATTCTGTGAGTATGTTGGGGGTTTATGGCTGCTAATTGTGGAGAGTTGGCCAACTTATGAATGACTGCTAGGTCATCAAGGGAAGAGTCAACATAGAACCAGAGGCACCACATTGAAGGATCCCAGTTATATTCATTGTAATCTAGTTATTTTATTATTTCAAAGGTGGGGTGTTCCTATTTTGGAATTTTAAACATCTACCCAACTATTCAATTCCTCATTCCTATTACATTTCTTTAATAAATATTTTTCTTCAGTCTAAACATGAATTTAATGTGGGTTTCTGACAAATCTAAGATATTCATATTTATTCCTAAGAAAGGATAAGAAGAAAGCAAGTAATCTGACAAAAGTGATCAAGATAGATGATAGATAGGAGATAGAACTAAGGTTCTACCAAGCTGCTATCAATTCTGGGCTGATAATTATCTGGCAATTAAGGCAATTGTTGGTAATTAAGATGTGTGACTTTTAATAACCACAAACAAACAGATCACACAGACCAACAAAACCACTTTCAGGAATGCAGCAGTTGCCAGATCATGCCAGAACTAAGCAAAGCTCTTTAAATGGGGAATGGCCAAGAGCCTGCACTGTGACTGCAGTGCACCGGAACAACCTACAACACATATAGTTCAAGGATGTCTCATCGGAAAATTTCAGGGCACCTGGGATGATCTCATTGCAGCCATGCCAGAAGTCTTTAGATGTTTAACTTCCTTAAATATTGAACTATTATATCTCATTGCAATTCTATGGTTCCATTCATTAGTGATTTTATTACAGTTTATCTTAATATTTTATCTCCTATATTGTATTGTCCAGATATCATATTTGGACAATATATGACAATATATTTATATGTGTACAATACAACATAGGAGATAAATAAAATGTGTGTGTGTGTGTGTGTGTGT